CAGGACATGTGAAAACTCCCTCAGCAGGTGAAACGGCCGCAAACCAACCGCCAGCAGTTCAACATCCTTTGCGTAGTGCCGCTCTTTAACGCTAACGTGCTAGCATTACACCATCTCTTATTCACATACATGGCGAGTCCTCAGCCTTTCTTCTCTCCACTCTCCCTCCAGCTCCGGTCCGCTCTGACCAGGTGAAATCCATCCAAAGTTACGAGCGAGTCCGGAGTGAGTTGTTCAGCCATGACTCCGTGAACAACATGAGGTTGCACTCCTGATACTCTCACTGCAGCCGGTCAGCGCTGGTAGCTGTTGGCTCTTCCAGCCCGTTAAGGAGAGACCTTACGTTTCCATGATGATGGATGGATGGACGGCTTGTAGCGTCTCGTCTTCTCTGGACGCTTCACTCCTGCCCTGCATCCCTTCTTCCTCCAGCTCTCCCCCAAGACGGATACTGTTGCTGCTCCTGCAGAGAAACGGAATCCATGCTGTGGTGTCCTGTTACCTGCCCAAATGAAACAAGTGGAGTGGACACACAAATCTACTAAATTAGGCAACAAATCTTCCCAGAAAAAAGGCTTCCCTGGTCACTAAGGATGCAATAGCATAGACCTCCGTCTGCTCTGCTTTGCTGGTTGGACAAAAAGGCAGACTGACACCTACAAGAGGTGGATGTTCCCTCCACTCTTTTGCACAGCTTACAAAGCAGCGTGATTAAGTTTGCATTTTAGTGCACAATGCAATTACATGGAAGTACACAAAACAATGGCTTTGGATAGATAAAACATTCATGTAATATAAAGAAATGTACTGCATGCGTGTAAAGTAAAAAGATGGGAGAAGACGAGACGCTACAAGCCGTCCATCCATCCATCATCATGGAAACGTGAGGTCTCTCCTTAACAGCCTGGAAGAGCCAACAGCTACCAGCGCTGACCAGCGGCAGTGAGTATCAGGAGTGCAGCCTCATGTTGTTCACGGAGTCATGGCTGAACAACTCATTCCAGACTTGCTCGTAACTTTGGATGGATGGAACTTTGGAGAGTGGTAAGAAGAAAGGCTCAAGACTCTCCATGTATGTGAATGATGCTGGCACATTAGCTTTAAAGAGCGGCACTACACAAAGGATGTTGAACTGCTGGTGGTTGGTTTGCGGCCGTTTTACCTGCTGAGGGAGTTTTCACACATCCTGGCGATTACAGTTTACATCCCCCCCTCGGCTGATGCTGCTGCAGTCTGGGAACTCATCCATGGTTCAGTGTTCCAGCTGCAAACATCACACCCTCAGTCTCTGATGGTCATCTCAGGAGACTTTAACCATACATCGCTCTCTAACACTCTCCCCACATTCAGCCAGCATGTGGATTACCCAACCACAGACGGTGGGCCTTGGACCTGCTGTGTGCGGACAACAGGATGCATATTACTTAATTGTTATTTTCTTGTACTTTCTATATTTTTGGATGCTGCTTTGGCATGTAAATTTCCCTCAATGGGGAATCAATAAAAAAAAGTATTCTATTCTATTCTATTCTATTCTAAAGTAGCTTGCAAATTTAACGTATTGCTATTTAAATGTTATTGAAATTGTACACTTGCAGCAGCTACACTTGTCACCCATTGTGTTTGTTTGTCCATTAACACTTAAAATATGTTGTCTTTGCAACAGCAGGTGTCAGTAAAGCTTCACCTTGCAGGCCATTATCTTAGGCAAACTCAAAACATGACTTCACAAACGGACTGCACAGAAGAACTCTACCTTCTCTCAGCAATCACATTCTGTTTTGTTTGTTTGTTTGTTTGTTTTATAAAATATGCATTAAATATATGCTGCAATTACACTGTTCAAAGTGTATTATTCTGCTCGCTTTTATAGCTTATTTATGGTTTGTTCCGGGTATTTAAAATCTGGGCTAAATGATGATTCTAAATAATACATTTCGTGTGTAAATATATCCTTTTCAAAAATGTAAGTTAAGAAAAGTTTAAGTTCGGGGTACGTGAGCAGCGTTTTATTTCTAAGGAGGGCCCAGCGACGGAAGTGACGTCGTCCAGCGCAGACCTCTTCCTCTCTCTTTTCGTTGAGGCTCAGCTAGCGGCCGGTGGGTGCACGTTTCTGCCAGCTTACATTTATCGGTTTTAAGTCAACAGCGAGCTCTTTGATGTGATTAAAACAATATGTTGCTCATCGTGTATTGACAGTATATCTAAATTTTGTAGCTAGGTTTGAGTTATTAGGCAGAAAATAGATGTAATAGTGGTTGAAGTCTACGCTAACTGCACGCATGTGGCGAGGCCCCGCGACGACTCCCTCTGCTAACAGGAGCTAATGCTTCGTACCGAAAGGCGACACAACTTTAACGGGCAAAATGATGATTTAGAAACACACAGTGTCTGTATTACAGTTACATTTTCAATAACCCTAGTTGTAAATATGTATTGAAGGTGCTGACGTTTCTCTGAGGGTGTCTCCGGTCAGTTAGCGAGCTAGTTAGCTTAGCTGCGTGTCTGAACTTAAAGCTAACGCTACTCTTTCCTTTACAGCCTGCAAACATGCAGATCTTCGTGAAGACGTTGACGGGGAAAACCATCACCCTTGAGGTTGAGCCCAGCGATACCATCGAAAATGTCAAGGCCAAGATCCAGGACAAGGAAGGTAAGCCGGCACATTTTACCAGAAATTGGTGGGGTTGCTAGCAGGCAGTTTGTATTTTAAACATAAGCTCGAATCACCTTCCAGTAATGATTTAGTCAGTCATAGTTTATCTTCACATTTACTATGTTAAAAACTGTCATGTATGAAGTGCCAGGTTGACAAGTTCTCAGGTATTTTGGCACCTGGAAATCCAGGGGTTGCGGTCTGATGGAAGATTGCATTTCTGTCTGCTTACACTGTTAGCTTTAGTTATAAGACTTTGTTATAAGACTTTATTATGGACTGGTTTGAAAATGTAAACAAGCTTGTAAGAAAGTCTACATTTATAAAGTTTAACTTGGTGGCCATCATGAAGATGATATTTCGATGTGTTCAGAGCAGTGTTGTTGATAAATGTTGCTAATCTGACAATGTGGATGTTGGTTGGTTGATAAGTGTTTTTGTGTTTGCAGGAATTCCCCCTGATCAGCAGCGTCTGATCTTCGCTGGAAAACAGCTCGAGGATGGACGCACACTGTCCGACTACAACATCCAGAAAGGTAGTGCCTAAGGACAAAGTGCTGTCCTTCTGGATCTTTCAAGTATTTGAGCTAGATTTCCTTGTGAATGTGCATTTTATACTATTTTATGAGTGTCGACACGGTGCAGCATCATTGCTCCATTCCTAACCTGATCAGACTTAAGACACAGGTTACAATGGCTTTAAGAAAAGATATCGAGTGTAAATTTTAAAAATGTGTCTAGTGTCTGTAAACAGGTAGAGGAGGCTTTCTGTTGGCCTGCATGTGGATGTAACTGAACTTGAGATTGACATCAATGTGTGCTAATTTTCCACCAGAATCCACTCTCCATCTGGTTCTGCGTCTGCGTGGTGGCATCATTGAGCCTTCACTCAGACAGCTGGCCCAGAAATACAACTGCGACAAGATGATCTGCCGCAAGTAAGTCCAGTTCAAACCATGATAATTTATTCAGTTTATTCAAAGCACTGCTCTTATTTTATGATATGATGGTGGAGTTCAAATTCCTGAAACTGCACTGAGGGCACCGTCAACCTGAGTTAGAGATAATTTTGAATGCATTTGTATATTGATGAAGTATTTGCTTTGTTGTGGTTGATCAGTGTAGAGTTAATGACAAGACAGCACATATGGGCAGGTGTAGTCCTGATTTTACAAACCCTATTTTTTGTTGTTGTTTTTTAACATTTAAAGTCTTTTAGGCAAAAGAGTTAGTATTAAAGATTTCATATGTAATAAATCACAAATTCACACTAAAATTAGTCTGTTAGTTCCTCAAGAACTCTTGGCTTAGGGTTAGTTATTAATTCATTACTTTTAAATCTGACCACTTGTTTTGCAGGTGCTATGCCCGTCTGCACCCCCGTGCTGTCAACTGCCGCAAGAAGAAGTGTGGACACACCAACAACCTGCGCCCCAAGAAGAAGCTGAAGTAAACATTTTTGACTGGATTGGCACTCTATGCCTTTTTGTGTTAAAATAAATGTAAGAAAATGATGCTGCTTGTGTGACTGATTATTTTTATGCCTGCTGAGGTTTTGGTGAAACGTGAATTAACGCTTGGAACACTTGGTTATAATGCTGTGTTACGTTATTTAACCGAACCAGTCCCAAGACGAACTGCAACAAGATCCGCACGGTGCAAAAAAACATGTTACTGTTTGCCAAATGTTCCCAAACAAACATTAAAGTTATTCATTAGAAGAGTTTGGCGAGTAGTTTACACCAGAGACCTGAGGCCTGTTCACAGTTCTGTCTGGGCTAACTCAGCAAACATGCTTTTTGGAACTGGCCCCGGTTTAAACGGTTGGTGTCCTCCAAAACCTGACCAGCACTTGGTCGTGCTTGTGGGTCTGGCACGCAAAATAGCACGTAGCACTTGTGTCAGCTTAAAATGACTGCACTGTGCTGCACGAACAAAATGTCACGTGTCCCAACGGCATTGTTAGCACAGACTGATGGCAACATGGCTGTTGGGGGCGGAATCCAAATGAGAGAGACACTGGATTCTATCAATGAACAAAAAGTTGCCCAAGGACACGTTTATCGGCTATTCACTGAACTATTAGGACCCTCATATTCCAGCTAAACACATCTCTACACCTTTGCTGCAACAAAGCAAGCAATATGGCCAAATGGATCAAAGTCTACCTCAGTTGTCAGCCTATACAGCAATGACCTGGGTTTAACTGAAGTGACGATCATTACTGTAGTTATCAGCTGTCACATCAAATACCAGTAACTCAAAATCACAATCTCAGGGGGGAAAAAATGGAAATGTAAGATGCAAACCGTAAGAGTGTGAAATGACAAAACACAGCCGAGAGTTTCTCACCCTGTCATCACGCAAAGAGCACAGCAGTGACTCTGCATGATGGACTTTTAATGTTTAAAACAGTTCTATACAAATATAAGGGACTCATCTCACATTGTCAAATCCCATAAAAACACCTGCCCTCCTCAGATTGACTAATTCTTGTGAAACACCAGTCGACATAAAGCAGTACTTCTGTGAAACTAACCTGATCTAAATGAAGTGTTCTGAGGTATTTTGAGTCGTACTGAAAAGGTCAAATGTTTCGGACGCTGATCAACGAGCAGTAAAACCTAAAATCGTAAGATTTGATGGAGATAGAGATCGGGGTCATTCATACACGGGTTGTGTGTTCATTCCAGTTGATGTGACGTCAGCATGACAATCTTTGGTAGTGCATTCTTGTTCCCAGCTGGCAACAGATGTTTTAGCAAGTCCTTATTCCAGTGTAGTTAAGGAGGAATCCACCCACAGATATTCAAAAATATGTTTATTTTTGTGCTGTAATTTCTGTCAACCAGCCTCGACTATCTCCTACATTTCCCAGAATGTATGTTGATGCATCTCAATAAGGAGAATTAGGGTTTCGTGACAACATATTCAAACAAACACAAAACGTGCGGCGTTAAAATGTGTTGTTGCAGCCAGAAAGAACTATAATGACACACCAAACAACTAAATCAAGAGACAGAAAAGCAATGCACATCACCAGAGGGTCCACGAATAGTGTGAAATATGAGGTGGATTTCTCCTTTAATATGCTGTAGCTACACAATAATACTGCAGATTGAATTCACATTCTGTCATAAAGTTCTAACACAGTCCATCATATTCTGTACCTTAAACGCTTTCATGTGTAGTGACACACTTTTAAGTGAACGGAAAAATCAGCCCTCTCAGCCGATCCTACAGACTGCTAATAGCAGAGGGCAGCCTCCCCACCCCCGTTCTGTGTATACAGGAACTACTCTTAATGTATTTACACAGTGTTATTGTGCAGTCGGTAAACACTGGAATAAGGCTGTTGTGAAGCAAAGTGTTTCTGACATCAACCGTGTGGAGCTCGTGCTGAGGAGCTGATGGCCTCCGTATTTTCTTCATGCTCGATAAAAGGTAGTAATCTGTCATAATATGGTGAAGCCATGAGAGAAAACGCAAACACAACAGGCTTTACAGAGGTCTCGTTATCTACAAATTACTTATATTCACTATTAACAGCCAACTACGCTAGAAATTTTATTGCTAATTGTGATATTTGCATGTAGCAGCTGAAGTCAGAACCTCAGACGGCATCACAGCTTGTCAGAGCGACGAAATACCAGTCGTTTATAGAGTGTTACTGAGATCAGCAACAACATAGCGTAATGTAATTCTGATTTCATCTATTCAAACCTCTAAATTAGGTAACCCCACTATATGTCATGAATACCAAAAGTTAAATATGTTAGAAACCCTTACGTAGCAATAACTGCAAGTTAATGCAATAATGGGGTACTACGACATTATACTGCAGCTTATGACAATAATATTTCCCATTTTGACAAGTTGTGATGATTCTGGCAGTCGCTGCATCATCAGCTTCAAAGAACTGCACCTTATTAGTACCTATATTACTGTCATATGAAGAAATCAATACCTCATCAAGGGGTGAGAAGCAAAGATCAATAGATATTGTGCATCAGAACTTCACAAACAACGCTGACGGACAAGTCAATTAAGTACCAATTTGCTAAAACTACTGCAGTTGTGCTTTTTAACTCGAGCAGCCTGAGACTGCACACTGCTAAGTAATGTGCGCACACACACACACCCACACACATACACACACTGCTTCACATTCCTTGGCAGGTACGGGGCTTCTGCAGAGCTCATGCAGTGCTCTCATAGTAATCTATGCTCTGTGGCTCCGCTGAGCCTCTCTCTCTCTGTCTGGGGTTATTATTACTATTATGGTAACAGATAGTGTTGAGCAACACAGAAAAAGTACACAAAGAAGATCTGGATCATTTCTGTGAAAACTGACAAATGTAAACATAATCAAATTTGGCACAAACATCATCAAGTGCAATCTCAGGTTCAACTCAACAACATCGAGGCGGGAAAGCAGCGTCTCTAACAGCAGCACACAGTGACGCGTCAGGACCAGTCCTTCCAGCGATGGTCTTCCTGTCCAGTAGACCGGTGCAGCAGCTGCAGCTTGGATTTTGCAGCATTTTTGGCTGGTAACCATTGCAGATTTCCCATCCTGACTTTGAGCAACCCATCGATGAACATGAATAATAGAAGAAGTGGTGAGAAAGCGCGGTCCTTATAAAACATGAACGAAAACGGTTGTACGCTGGCGATCCTCAGAAGACAGAATGGGAGCAGGTTGTTGCATCTCTGAGTTTGTTGCTGTTCTGGCTGGTGTGAGGACAGTCCAGGCTGATGACGGTGAACTTTACTTGGGGTCTTTGCCTCCATTGTGTCCTGACCCTGACCACACTCCTGCTGGGTGCATCTCCACAGTGTTAAAGGGAGGCTGTTATTGTGTGAAAGCAGACATTGTACTTGTATGGCTTGTTTTTTTTTAAATCATCTCACCAGCACTGACTTTATGAGAACATGAGAAAAGATACGTCTAAAATCTTTAGTCCTACAAAAGAGTTATTGTGTGGGGACTTCAGGCTTTTAAGTTGAGTAGTTGAGACTTGAAGCTGGAAAATACTGTCAGGAGATTACTTTGTAATACTTTCCGTGCTTAACTGCTACTCTTGCCTCTTCATTTAGTAGATTTCCCACACTTAGTTAAATATAGATCACACAAAACTTAAACCAACAAACAAATTCTTTGATGCCTGTTTGAAATTTCCACCGACGCAAAATAGCACGATTTAAGATTCTCTTGTAAAGGTGCTTTGTATTATTTGCTGTGAATAAACAACCACTTCATTCATTTTGGGACATATTACTGTAAATAAATCAGACTGCCAAATGAGACAGCCCCGGCTCTGGATTTTACATCGTAAACCACCAGATCAGGTTTTGACCAAGTACACTTGATTGCTGTGGCACCAAAACGAGGAGAGGCACGCTGTTCTTCCACAGCAAATGGATCTAAAGGTTTCAGAGTAGTCACGGATGGTTACAGACTGTATAAAAGAAATGGATGTGGCCTACGGGTCTGAAAAGTGAAGCCTTAAACGCTGCATTCCCTCTAACAGCCAGCAGGGGGCGATTCCTCTGGTAGTTAAAAAGGCTATGAGGAAATTAGCCTAATTCTCACCTAATGTGTTGCCTTACTGAACATTTTTCAAAAGAGTTCATGGCTTCAATTGGTAGTTTCTAGACTTTTTGAATACAGCATGGTGTTCCTTTTGTAAAATATGGTTCCATTTAGAGTAAAATGGACAACAAAGCAAAGTATGTCCTTGCAGTGTGGCTAGCTTGTGATTAACAGGTCACTACTGCATCCCAGTGCGTACTGCCCTCAAGTTCAGTCAGATCCACTCCCTGCTTTTACGTCTGGTGTCAAATGACCTCGATGGTGATGGCAAAATTCCAAAATCAAGGCTTCAAAAGAGAAGTTCGCAAACCAACCGGTCATGAAACGATCGCTACGTCCGTCCTTTATATACAGTCTGGTGATGGTCAAAAGTGAAAAGAGTAAAAATCTGGTGTAAAATTGTGACTGAGATGCAGGTCGCAGTCCCCGACAACACCGTACTGTCAACAGCTCATGATAACCAGGTTGTAATGTTAATGAGTTACAAACAGTACATGATTTATTGGACACATAGCACCTTTAAGAGGTTTCTAATAGCTGCTGTTTACCTGCACTCATCTTAAAAAAAAACAGATAAATGAAGGTAAACTTTGGCGTGTTTTCCTCCATATTGCGTCGATCTTTTCTGTTGCATCAGTTAAACACCAATCAAAGCCACATGGAGGAAACAAGCAGCGACTGTGGAGATGCACCCCGACTCCTGCTGTGGCTACTTATCGACCAGTTTCGCCAGGTTCTCTCTCAGGCTGTTCAGGTCGCAGATTTTGACGTCTAGAACCTCTATAATGCGTCGGACCTCCACCTCCGCCTGCTCCTGCTCCTCGCGGTTGGACGCCAGCGTTTTTTCGGCGCTCTGAACCCGATCCTCCAGCTCAGTGTTTCGTCTCTCCACGTCCTGCACACACATCGACACTTGTTAATAAAGTAGTCGGTTTCCAAATTAGACATTTGACAGTTTCTTTGTATTTTTGGGATGTCAGCACGAGCAACTGAAATATTTCTCTTTTATTTATTTTTTACGTAGTTGTACTGCAAAATGCCTGCTGGTTATTATTGTCCACAAAATGCCATAAATGTAAGTCTCGTGAATGTGTTCTTTGTCCATAAATCATAAATGTTGTTGTAAAAAAAGGCATAAGCTTTACACATAGCTCTTCTTCTGCATGTTTGTTCCTCAGTCCAATGTCAGGCCACAAGTACCTAAACTATCAAAGTTAGGACATGCTAAATGAATGCAAATAACTGCAAAATGAACTTAGTTTCTGTTAATTTAACTTTCAACATGAGCACAGAAGAGCTCTATGCTGCTCTTTTAAACAGACAAGATCAGCAAAAGCATTAAAAAAGCAAATACAGTTTAGCTGAAAAGACCTGCAGGTTTGGACCAGACCCAGTTCAGCTTAAATTTCTGTAAATTCTTCCTTCGTTGTGTGGGTGCTGACAGAAATAGAAATTGCTGAGAAACTCCTCTCAGGGTTGTTTGCTTTGAACAGTTTATACGACAGATCTAAATGGACAATTTTGTGTTTTATGAGCAACTCTGGATGCCAAATGCACAGCTGAATAGTTTACGGCATGAACACAAGGACAGAAAAGGTCAAATATGAATATACATAATTCATAACTGACACCCCTACTAAGAATGACAGAGGACCTCATAAAGGCCATGCAATATGCATCAGGTATAATCTTCTCCATTAATGAGGAAATTCAATACAATTTGTTTTCTCCTTGATGCCCTCAATTCACCTGTACTGATTTTCTCCTGCACTGCTGCTGGTGTGAAGAGTCTGAAATACAGTCTCTTTTGTTTTTGGCTTTTATTATTGCTTTGATTATTGAGATCAACATAAACAGATACATCAAAACAGACCACGAAGATTGCTGCTATAAATATCTACAGAAGGAAAATCGTTTGTAAGAAAAGAAAAGAAAAGAAAAGAAAATCCATAGAAGACTGAACTAGTGACCGTCAGTGGAGTGCCAGTGTACAATATGCATACATACATATATAATACAAGCTTCACGAGGTTACATAACAAAGGAAACGGAGGTGAGCACAACCAATTTGTGCAGAAAAAAAATCAGTACTTTTTTTCTTGAAAGCTGTGCAGGATCACATCTGCACCTGTAGCACCAACAAGTTTCTGAAATTTCTTGACACATGATTGAAATTATGTCAAGAACAGTAAAACACAGAATCAGGTAAACATGCATACATCAGCAACTACGTCTCTCTACTGAGGCCTCTCTAGTTTATTATCAATATAGTTGATTACAGATTATTCCATCTCAAATACTCAGGAGCCTGATTTACTTGATGCTTTGTTTTATTTTATTTTTTTAAATCATAGACTGTATGTATTTAATTGGTATTTGCGAATTTTTAGATTGATATCTAAAAAAACATTTAAGACGTGTTTATGTTTGTAGAACAATATCTCAGGAACTAGTAAAAATGAAAGCCTGAGTTTTCACTGTTTTTTTCTCATTGTGTCATTGATTGAGAATCTGTTGAAATCTGACAAATAACTGAAGTCATTAATGAAAGTCCCATCTTTGAGCACACATGAGCAAAAACATTGTAATGCAGAAGCCAACTAGTGAACCATATGTAGTCGCATGTCACAGAACAGAATGCTTTTTAGTGGGAAATACTTGGTCGCAAAAATGAAAAGACAAATGTATTTGTTGAGCTTTCATAACTGATTGAGCAGATATGGTTGTTAGGCAGGTAAGATGGAGCATCAACACAAAAATATTGTTAGATAGTCCAACTCAAGTAGAACACAGTTTCAGAATGGTTCTCCAAATAGAACTGGAATAATGTCATCTGTGGGGCCTAATGGGTAAACTTCTCATTTTCGGACCCTGGATGTACGCTACTAAAATTTCTGTCATATCAGATGGTTGATCAGAAGTTGTTTAAAACTTTGATGACTTGACTTGAAATGACCCACAACTGAAACAGCAATAAAATGGCAGCAGCAGTGTACATGTAATAACTTTCTGCACGACTTTTTTTCTTTGACCATTAAGCCTGAGTGAAGTATGTGACATTTTCTAGCAACGCAAGTGCATTTGCAAGAGAAAAACAAAGTTGTTCTCGCTGTTGGCTGCAATTTGATGAGTCAGTCGGAGCACTTCGGTACAACTTCTGAAGGAGCGCTGCCCGTCGGCTTACCTGGAGTCTCTGCATGGCCTCCTCTCGCTCCTTCTCCAGCTCACCCACATCTGTTTTCTTGCTCTGTAGACTGTGAATTTCCTGAAATCACAGGCGTTTCAAACAGTTACAACGCTGCCTTCCTGATCCCCGCACACCCACCGTCCCTGTTATTAGGACATGAACCATTTATGTCCTGTTTTGCACCAGAATACTTGAGATGTGGTTCAGAAAGTAGCTGAGTCATTTATCATACACATGGGGTGGGTGATAAGATTTGGGACACCTTGACGTTCTCGGGGAGGAGGGGCTTCTGCCTCTAAGGAATCACACCACCGTGACCTTGCACGCATCCTGTTGCCAGAAGTGGAACTTTTTAAAATCAGCAGACAGATGTGGTTATGTTAATGAGGCTGGAAGACAGCAGCAAACTGATGTCAAGACATGTCTGACTTTTATTTATCCAGGGAAAACGGTTTCCGGCTGAGGGCGTCCACGCATGCATCTGATGAACACAGACTTGACCCAAATAAGCACAAAATGTTCACAGGATGATGTTATGAAATTATGAAGATGAGTCAGGAAGGTGTTAAATCCTTATTTCGCTTAATACGGAGGTGGCAGATCTGGACATCTGCATCTTGCCTCAAGTCTCCACATTCATTTCACTGTGTTTTATAAGAGTGTGGCATTTTATCAAAGCACACTTCAGCCAGATCAGAACACTGAATCAACAGCAACAAAAATGACCAGCAGATGAATCCACGTCTTGGTAGAAACACAAAGTAGAAAGTCTAAAGTAAAAGCCAGAAAACACACTCTTCTCTTTTGTTGTTGTTTTTTAACTCCACTTGACTTTTTGTACATTCTGTCAAGTAATTATCATTTGGAAGAAGACAAAAACATGATTATTGAACCAGAACGACTTCATTAAAAACCATAAAGCTGATTCAGACAACAAGTACTCAAACAGACACGTTTCTAGCTGTCCTGGCTTTCTACAAACTACAGTTTTGTGGAATGTTTCCATGTTTTTCTGGTGTAATTGAACATCAGATGGAGAATCAGGCTCACACATCTAACTGATTGCTGGCAATATATTATGTATGCTGTTATATTTTGGGCGAGCGTTCTACACTGAGCCCCCCTTTGAGATGGCGGCTAGATTTGGACAGTGGGCTGCGTTGGGGGAGAGAACTTGGTGTCTTGCCTGGTCTTTGGCGCTCAGCAGGGCTTCCAGCTCCTCCAGTGACCGACTCAGCTCCTCTTTACCAGGCTGACCAGCTGCAGGATGCCCCAGCTGGGCCTCCAACTCTGCCACCTGGAACACACAGACGTATAATGAACACTTACTTAGAAATGACATAAAATACAACAAGGCTAACGTCAGAATTAGGCTGCAGCATCTCAGGACCTGATCACAGAGAGGAGGTGGACTGGAGGATGAGATCATTGAGGCAGGGAGGAGTCAAGTTAATGACAGTCTTGTCTGTGCCAGCAGAGGTGAGTGAGAACTGCTAAGAAGAAGAATTGTTTAAATCTATCCAAATTTAAAGAAATAATTTTCCTTTGTAATCAACGTGGTTCTTGTTTGGAGCCTCATTGAGCAGCAGATTGGACAAATGGAAATCACAAGCTTCCCCCAGTGGTCTCTCTGCTTGCTGCGACACTGAAGCACATTGGTCTCCCAGTAAACTGATTTCCTACAAGGAGGAGAAGTTGGAGACATTTAGTTTCTGTGACATACAGTAGGCACCTGGCCGGGGTCGGCAGCTTCTGAGCATCCACTGGGAAACTATGCAGTGAAGTGTTAACCTTACTTCTGCTCTGAAAATGTTAATTTCTTCCAACACGTTTCTACAACTCTTAAAATTTAAACCCCTAAAAAACTCAGCTTTGGGTGATAAAGTGACTTTTTTTCCATTAAAATAATCCCTTCCTGTCTTAAAATGATGGAACTCTACAACGTTGCTTCACCCACAATGTTCAGAAACATGACGTCCCTGCATCTCTCTCCTCTCACCTCTCGGCTCCTTGCTGCAGCTCAAGCACACCAGCTCACCTACAGCTCTGCTCAAACACTGTAACGCTGCGCCACACAGTGGCAAGTTGTAATACTGGATTAATTCAGCCACACATGTTCAAGCAGAAACCAGCTGTAATAATGATATGTAAAGTCCCACCCAGTAAGTTGGCAGGGTTGGCTTCTTGATTTTCACCAGTGGAAGTCTTTAAAGCATCACCTTTAACTGACATTTGTGACTTCAGTGCCTCTAGGTCACATGGTCAAAAAGTGGCCAATCAGAAGCGCTGTGTCGGCTGTTATTTCATCCAGGCTGATGAGAAAGCCTGTAACTGAATGATTGTTTGAATGATGTTTAGGTGGGTTGCATGGCTGTGCTTGTTGAAGTGGCAATCAGCGTGCTGATTTGCATCATGTCTTATGCATGAGTTGATTTATTGTGCTAATTCCACTGTCTGGCATTTCACTCACTTGGCGGAGGAGAGAATTGTTTGTTAATTGCTTTTTATTTGTGCTGATGTGTTTGGTGGTTATTAGAGTGACATCTGACGAACAAGAGGACTTCTGTAATGTGCTCGTCTTCACATGGTTTAGAGCCTGTAGCTTTGGGCGCCACTACAGCTCACCTGGTGGGGCTGGTGTCCCACGTACAGGGGCTACAGTCCCCAACACGGAGGTCATGAGTCTGAATTCCACTCATGGCCCTTTACCGCAGGTCCTTCTCCCACTTTCCTGTCTCTCTCTAATTGCACTTTCAAATAAAGGCAAAAAAAAAGCCTGTAGCTTTATGGTGTGAACACCCAAACAGCACCAGTGATCCCAGATTTAGTTGTAAAATCTAATCAGTCCTCAGTCTAAAGACGAACAGTCGAAGTCTTATGTGAACATATTATTAGTTTTTTGCAGAATTCTGCTAATGGACAGACATAAGAAACAGGCACCTGCCTTTAGGATTGCTAAAGTTTGTTTTAATGAGCAGAACGATGCACTAAAGTGAGTGAACGGGCAGTAAAAAGCTTTTGTTAACCTAATGTGTGGTGTATGTTTCTAAAGCCACAGAACAACAAGCAGCCCTTCACCTCAACTGAGAACATAGAAACCAGCATTAAAAGGTTTTTACATAATGCAAGTGCAATAATGTAGTCACATACAAATACACACACTCTGACAAAAACACGTGTTTGGCGATTTCTATTGATGGAAATGAGGAAAACCAACAGAGGTTCATCGCCTACCCACCTACACATTACCATCCATCCACACACACACACACACACACACACACACACACACACACACAGCAACACTGAACTGCAGTGCTTCAGTGGAAAAAGGCTTTACTGCCAATGGGCACATTACTGAAGCCTCTCGCCTCGGAGACTTTTTTTTCTTACGCTGATGGACGGACGTGACCTTGCAAAAGATTTTGATGAAAAATGTTTTCCCCAATCCGACCCATTTCCCTGCGTTTAACATATTAATGGAAATGTCAGAGATTGTGAGCGGCAGTTTGACGAAACAAGGACAAACTGTTCAGCATCTGAAGCCCGAACATGACGTGATTTAAAGTTTGCGGCTCACTGTGTATCAACTAAACCATCTTTTTAGGACTTTATGGTTCCGCAGTCAGAGCAAGGCACAAACACTGGCAGGGTGAGGGGTTCAATTCCCTTTAGGCTTTGCTTGCTTAAAATAAAAACAGTGTATTCTATGTTTTGTATGCTGGGGGAGTAACAGGCTCAAGACAACACTTTAATTGCGTCTCAAATGTCTGCACAGTTTGAAGCAACAGGATCAGACAAGATGCTTCACTTTATTTTACAGCTGATAAGGCTCTAGCTTTGCCACACTGGCTCCACAGACCTTTGATATGTTTTAAACATGTTTACATGACAATTTAAATGATCCTGAATGGTGCCTTAGTTGGATTAAATGAAGCTGAATGTGTGCATGTCAGTGTGGACGGTTAGATGCTTTAGATGAAACCTGACAGGAGACAAGATCACAGCGGACAGGTGAAACATGTGTTGGCTCACTGTTCACTGGACACTGTTGCTTGAATTAATTGTAGAAAATCAACATAAAAGTAAATCTCTGGTTCCAGTTACTCTAATGTGAGTGTTTGCTTGCTTTAGTTTTCTCTGACAGTAAATCAAACGTCTTTGGGTTTTGGAGTGTCGTCAAAAAACAATCAAATGTCCTTGAATTTTGGGATCTTGTGCTATTTTCAGGCATTTTATTGGATACACAAGTTTAAGAAAATACCTGGCAGAATAACTGATAATGATAACAGTAGCTTGTCGTAGAAATGCTTCTGTGTCCTTGACAATGTATGATGGATAAAAGCTTGTTGAAGAAATCTGAGATTTAAAAACAGAAACGTATATCTGGAACACGGGGGAATTCAAAGCAACCCTTGGCTTCTTACTCTTGGTTTTATTTAATGTTGGTGTTGCAGGAGTCATTTTAACCTTTGCTATTGCCAGTTTCTCACATATCAGTTGCTCCTGAGTGACTGCATCAGCTGAATGTCTGAAATGTAAATGCGTGTGCGATGGCTCACAGGGTTTCCTGCTCCCATGGCCAACATTTCTTATTCTCGCAGTTTTTTTTTTTTGACATCTCCTTTGCATTTGTACACTCAAAGTGTGTTCAAAGTGGCAGTTTATAGATTCCACACTACACTATGTTGCCGTCATCCAAGTTGAGCTTCAGAAAACCGCCGCAGGTTGAGGTGGGGGAGGGTTGTGGCGAGGGGAGGCTTCGTATCAACAACTGTGTGTGTGACAGCTACTGTCCCCAGAGGCACCAGCTCCATATCTCTGAACTCCACACAAATATGCATGAAGAGAGGAAAACCTGAGAACTCTATGATATCCCTTCTAAATTAACGTTCTCAGAAAACCTTTTAAACTTAACGGACCAGCAGGAGTTTGACAATCCAGTGGCGTTAATAGATTCCCCACGGTGTCATAAAAGCACCAAACATCCACAAAAACTTTTAAACCTTGCCAGTCAGATCATTACCTATAAAATGCAGGAATACACCTCTACTCCTCAATCACTGGTTTTCTAAGTAAGGTTTGGCAATGGGGAAATATATACCAACAACCAATACAAACTTATCTACTGCCAAAGATTTTGCAGTACCTTTTGTACTGTGATAAGAAATGACGCCAATGCAGAAGTGCCAAAAACTGCAGTTCCTCAAATGGTCACTTGAGGCTGCTCCAAAAATGAGTCACTCCTCCGTACAGCTCCATGTTAAAATCCTCAACTCTACAGCAGAAATAAACATGTTTACAGCTTGATACAAAAAACTGCTTTGGTCTCTATAGATATGTCTGCAGTCATGACAACTGCACATGGGAGGAATTTTTATATCGCTCACTTCTTTATGTTGTATTGGAGCTTAACGTTGTGGTCGCTTTGAGTGACAGGTGGGTAATGTCACAGTTTATAACCCAGAGGTGACAGCATGGCCCACCTCAGCTCCACTTACAGTCCACCTCTTTGCTGATTTTTAGATTAAGCAGGAGGTAGGAGGAGCTGGGCACTACCAAGATGGAGCCACCACACTGAGCTTCAAAACCACGCTTTAGGAAACCTATGATGATGTGATGATGGATGTATTAGTCTACTTAGGTTCTGTTCTAACTGAACAGGCAGGACTGCTTTATGGTAATATTAGAATTTTCTATCAATCTGATGAACGGCATTGATAGCATCATTATTTAAATATTTACAACAGCGTTTTCTCAATTCCTGTTTTACTGAGTCCTTCATCAAATGAAGTCTGATTGACTGATCTATTTAATTATTAAATGCACTATATAAACACTTTTCAATGAATGAGACAAAACAGACGCTCTTGTCTGAGTTCGTATGATAGGCGTCAGTTATGTATTCCGGCTGGTGTCACCGTTGGTTAGTTTTAAAGTCTTTTCAGGGTTCCACATAAACCTGGTTAGAGACACAATTTCAACTTGAATTTGATCAGCAAAGAACCAAAATCCAACAAACAAGAACAAGCACACACAAAAAAAATTCAAGCATCCTACAGTCAGATGCGACACTGCGCTCCTCAGTAAAGGCGGTCAGTGTGAACCTAGAAACCCAGAAAATAAACCCAGAGCCGTTCTGCGGTGGATGAACACAAATATGGCAGTAGCTGAGAGTGTGACGGGGAGGAAAAGCTAGCCAACCTCTCTCCTTCTGCTCCTACGGTGATTTATCTTCCTCCTCTAACTGGGGCAGAGGGGGGAGGAGGTGGGCGGTATAGGGTGTCCTGTGCCCCCCCTCCACCCAAAGAAGAAAAAAAAAAAAAGAAAGAGAAAGCATCCCTGTCCCCCCTAAACACCCCGCTGCCAAACCCTGGAGGCCTGCTCTACTTCCAGCCACCTGGTTGACTTTGCTGCAGCGTGTGCGGCTCTGTGTGAGTAGATATTTGGGGGTAACCTTCACCTGGACGTGCAGAGATAGATGAAATAGACGAAAACCACGACTCGGGCTAAAAATAAAGGGCCAGTTTTCTGTCAGTAGTGATTGCAGACTGGTTTGCAGCAGCACTTAATTCTGTCACACTGAAGACGCTTTGTTAAGCTTGACCAAGGGCATAATATTCTCCCTGTAAATTACAGATGAAATGTCTGCATTGTGGCCCTGCGATTATCACGGGAGCCTGTCAACAGGAATATCCAGGGATCGCGGCTGGATGAGAAATGCATCTGCAGGTTGGAACAGTCCATGTGGGGATATTAGTGTCACGCTGTATAAATGTACAGAAAAAAATAGAATGAAATTAGATGCAGTTCTTGTGCATCGACTTAAGCAAAGATTTTTAAATTTAAAGCTAATTTACTTCACATTAGATTCCTGTTTAATCTATTGTTTATCTAGCGTACGAGTTCCTGTGTGATGCAAACTGTAAATTACATGCTGTAATTAAGTCCTTATACACATTTCTGTGAGTTGTACTTTTAGATTTCCGATATACAAACCACTGTGCAGCTGATGTAGGTTCCCCTCAACAAAAGACCGAGATGTGACAAATAGTTTGTAGAGTGGCATGTTTTTGAGGGACTTGCTGAAAGAGGAATTCCTCTGGGTGTAAACTGACAGGAACAGGAACATCAAATGATGCAGGTCTTCGAGGAAAACACTCAAACATGCAGCACAACGGAATGAAAGTCTATCCAGGTTTACCGGAGGCTACAGTCGGAATATCCTGAAGTTATCACCATCGAGTTTCTAACAAGTCAAAAACTTCTTTCTATGATGGAAAAATCTGTATCACCGTATTTTCTAGTGTCCATCTGTGGAAACTACATAAACACGATAGAAGCTACCTTGAGTAGAATTCATTTTCTCACAACTTTCTCTTTCCTCAAATCTCCCGTGACGCTTTAGAGCAACACCAGTTTGACCTCAGCATCACTCAGGGAGACGTCCCTAAATTAATTCTCCTGCACACCTAAAAGACAAAGCAACCAGAGACATAAAAAACCATCTTCGGCAACAAGAAGAACAGTGAGTCCTGCAACAGATGGTGTGGCTGCTGTGGAGTCCTGATCTGAACATCAAGGAGTCAGTCTGGGATTGCATGAAGCCGCAGAAGACACTGAGACAGAATAAATCCACAGGAGGAGTGTGGCAAGTTCTCCAAGATGCTGAAACAGCCTGCCTTAAAACACTGTGTTCAACTGGTGCTGTATTAAAGACAACGGCTGGCCAAACCGAATGTCGATTCGCTTCGGATGTTCTCAGTTTACTGCAATTTGTATGGAATGGAATACATTAAAATAAATCAAGCCTATTTGTGGCATTATTTTTGAAAGCTGCACCTTCAACTGTTGCACGGTCTGTTAAGTACATCAGACGGGTGTCAAGGTTAATTAAAAACAGAACTGTTCCAGCCGACAGTTTGTCTTTGGTTGTAATTTAAAAAGTCATTTGTCTTGCCGTTACAAAGAGTGAAACAAATGAAATCCTCAATGAGATCCTCAGTTCTGATTAGGAGAAAAACAAACAAACAACAGGTTTTTCTCACTGAAACGATGAGCCAGACTGGTCACAAACTACATTCTGTGTAACAACTGACTGATTGATTAAAACACACTGAAGCTCTCAAACTAAGAACATGATGGACTCGTCTCCACCTCCTCCCTTATTTTCTTACACTGTTGGAAGTGACGTTACACATTATATTTTGCATCAGTTGTCCTAAAATCAGTGTAAAACACACTAAGGAGTAACCACAATGTGCTTTCTTTTAAGCCGTAGCCCCAAAGATGAGCACTGGTGGTCAGTTTAAGCATCAAACACTATGAACTGCACCACCGCTGCTCTGCTCCAGATAAGGTCACCTGGTCTCGGAGGCGATCAGTCTCCTCCTGGTACTCGGCCAGCTGCTTCTTCCACTGCTCCACGCTGCTGTTGGCTTCCTGCAGCGCCGCCACCAGCTTGGCGTTGCTGTCCTGCAGAGTGAAGAGTTCGGCCTCCAGATTTATCTCACACATGGACCTGAGGAGAAATCACAAAAACAAAACGACACACACCCACACGAAGACTTAGCGCTTCACGTATTCAGCAGAAAAAAAGCAAATACATAATGACCGTCACTGTCAGAAAGACGCCTTAATGGTGAGGAAAAAGCCAAAGATAATGAGGTAATGAAGTGAAGCATTTATATTACGCTGCAGCAGCTGTTTGAATAACGTTTATGGACATTTAATGAGTTTAAAGAGCAATAAGTCTGTGTGTTACAGCAGTTCCAGAGAAACTTTTTAACTTATAAATGTCTCACGTGATTTTTTTTTTTCTATTATCATTAAAATAATATATTTTGCTTCTCTTTTTCATTCATGTCTTTGAGGGACATCTCACCATACAGTCCTGCACACGTGTTACTAGATTTGGTGGTAAACATGACTTCAAAGGCTCCTGTCCATGATCATTTTAAGACGTGGTGTTCAAGTAAACCAGCAATATTTACCATTATGGTAAAGTTATGTTGTTGATGCAAAATTATATCTAACAATCATCACTACACTAAGTTTTCTGAGGTGTGTTTGTGGCTTATAACTTGCAAGGAAGCAGTGTACAACCACACCACTGGGTACTATGTGAAAATCAGATCAACAATTTCTGCTTTATTAAGTTGTGGGAAGGAAAGATCAGGTGCGTGCCGGTAAAGGTCAGGATTCAGTGGGGATATTTAATAATCCAGGGAGCTTTCAGTAGCGAAGGTGGAGTCTAGGAAGGAAGACTCTTTGCCATGACGACTAAACTAACCGCTTGGCAACCATAAAACTACTCACCATAGCAACAGGAGAGCAAAGACAGCCTATAACAATCATAAAATAAAATTGGGATAATAGGCTGTAAAGCAGCTGAGGAGTGTTTTCCTGCTTCCTGGTCTCAGATGGAAGGTTGAGCGATCAATAATGGACACTATAATGATGATAATTATGAGCTGCTGAATTCCAGTCAGGCCTGGATGGTCTTGAGTCATGCGCGTGCACACACACACACACACACACGCACGCGCGCACACACACACACACACACACACACACACACACACACACACTAAAAACAGCACATCAGTCAAAACCAGCTATCAAATGCCAGAAACTGTTCCTGAAACAGCTTCTGTCCGCTCAAAACAAGAGACTCCAACAGCACTGCAGAGCCGAGGTGTCCATCAGCAGCGTGGCGTTCAGGCACAACACACTTTTTGCTTTGTGAAAATGAAACGCTTTTAGACTGACTCATTGCTGCTTTTCTACTTAATCAGCTGTTATGTTTCTTAAGAAGTGAAAATGAATTTCGCAGCCAGTCTGTGATTCTTTCGAACACCAACAGAGAACGTTTCATGTGGGAGTGTCTGAGTGGAACACTGATTCACTGCTGCTGAGAAAACACACTGTATGTCTCGATTTTTAGTCTCGCACCGACTATCCTAGATGTGAGGCGGTTCTCTGGTGCTCCAGCTCTGCATGTCATCTCCTCCTTCTTTCTTTGCACCCAATCTGACGTTTTAATCTAATATTATTCTGCATCTCTATATTGTGATTTGGCTTATTTCTGTCTCTGTAACACATCTACTGCACGTCTGTCCATCCTCAAAGTCGGATCCTGTTTCTGAGGGTCAGAGGGGGATCTACGCTCGACAGATTTCAAAACTCTTTGAGGCAAATTTGTGATTTCGGGATATACAAATAGAAGAGATTTGACTCGACCCAGTTAACTCCAGATTGGCCAAACACACCTGATCCAACTAGTCAGGTGCATGTAAAGCAAAGGAGGATAGAAAATATGCAGCGCTGGAGCCCCGGGACAGGGCACGACCTACCCTACATGTACCCTACATACATAATGAAACTCCATTGTATAGGAATCCCCCTGTGCTGTCAATTGAATACACACCGGAAAGGCACAATTGGTTCCTTTTCTGCCGGCGCTTTGCAGGTAATGTGTCACTTTCTTCAAAGAGCTGCTCTCAGATAGAGAAAGAAAACCTTCACTGTGGACACCAGCTCAGCGTCCTGGATGGATAACAGCATGCCTTGTTTGTGGAATAAATCTGCCATGCTGTCACAAAAAAGAAAAAAAAACGTGCTCCGCGTGCCAAGAAGGTCGTGTTTTTAGTTTTGTTTGTAGAACAGAAATCCCCAAAACCTGTTAATTGTGAACAAGTGAGGTGTTTCTGAGTGATACAGATTTTTTTTTTTTCTTCTTTTGATTCATTTTTCAATAGTTGAAAGAAGCCATTTTGAAAGAAAGGCTTTGTGGTGCAGATTACAATAACAAAAATCGCGAAGTGTGAAGCCTCCTCAATGGTTTGCTCTTTTGAAATGCTTTGCAGTTAAATGGCTTGTAACCGCCGCTTCCTTTCTGCCTCTGACAGAGGACGCTCAGTATCATTCACTGTACAGAGCTCAACAAAGTGCTCTGGGCTTTCTGCTCATGTAACCAGGCTGGGGGGTTAGAGACTGGATTACAACGCTTGCAGGAAACTTTCTAAACTCTAACAGATAAAAAAATTTCCATTCCACTCCTCCCACACACACATCTGCTGCTCTCGCTGTCATTCCACTTTAATGCGTATTTTATGTCTCTCTCTGCTGTTGTGTGTTATTGTTATTATTTTTGCAAGTCAAACACTGCTTCACAAAAATCTGAAAATCTGAGTGTTTGTTGCCAAATAAATATCCCCAGTAAAATGGAAATAAAGCCCGATAAAGGCACTTAAGAAATTTTGTTATTGTGCAAAATAAAATACATTTTTGATCTCAAAGTGTGCAGAGAATGAGCAGCCGTCAATGAATTTATTACATCATGTTTACTGCATTGTGTTCATCGTCCTCTGAAGATTAAAGGCAACGAGCCATTTTTACTCCATGTTGTTTGTGTATCTGTGTTAAAACCTACATTCAGTCATTGTGTTTGTATGGACATTCACTCTGTACAAAGACACATAAGCTGTCTGACACTACATGTGACAAAACATTTCCTGTTTTAGGTCAGTTAGGATTACCAAAAAAATTTCTATTTGCTAAACGTGGCTGGACATTCCCATGGTGTCTATACTTGCACACAACAACAGATGACCGTGGAACCTTCAGGCATCTGGACATTGTACCCAAGGATGGACCAGACTCATGGAGGTCCACAATTCTCTTCCTGATATCTTGGCTGGTTTCTTTAGATGTTCCACGTTGTCACAAAAGGAAGCAGTGTGTTTGAGGTGTGCCTCCAATTAACTCAAATGTTGTCAATTAACCAATCAGAAGCCTCCAAAGCCATGACATCATCATCTGGGCTTTCCCAAATAGTTCGAAGGCATCTTAGTGGATGTAAACTTCTGACTCTGAAGAACGTAGTAAAAAATTCTCTCTCTCATTCTGGCGTGTAGCAAATAGAAATAATGTTGGCAATCCTGACTGACCTAAAACAGGAAAAGTTTAGGCTGATTTAATGTCAGACAGTGAGAAAGAAAAGGTTTAATGTCTTTTTATACAGTGAACGTAAACTTCTGGTTTCAACAGTATGTATGTGTTGTCCATCCATGTGTACTAGAAGAGGGTTTATCTTGGCTTTGTTGCACTGAAAGCTCTTCGCTTCCATTTTTTTCTGACATAAAACACGGGGCACACAGGTGGTGCTATGAAGTAGGGCTGCTGCTACATATTGTTTCAGTTACTGCTTAATCTGCTGACTGTTTTCTTCACGAATTGATGATGGAACATTTTTGGTCTAAAATAGTGAAACAACATCTTTAAAATACTGAAAATGTTTCCGTATGAACATCCCTGTCAAGCAGAACAACTGAATCCACCATTACCCTTCAGACAGCATCTTCTTGACCCTCTCCTTCTCCGCCGTCAGCTCCACTTCAGCACTCTTACTGCGAAACAGCTTTTCCTCTCCGGGCCCGTTGACTGTCAGCAGCGGCGGAGAATGACGTTCCTCCGACAGCTCCTGGACCGAAGCACACGGACCAACAGGGACACAAACAGGCCGTGAGCTCCATTACAGAGATGAAAAATGAAATCAGAAGCTGATAACGCAGCATCAGTTTCATTCAGTACAAGTGCTTCTGGGGAAACAATGAGACAGAAAAGGCTACAGAGACCAGCACCTTTTGTGGAAGTGTTCAAATCTTGATTAAAAAGAGGGATTGTTTGGGATTACACTGCAAATCCTTATGAGCTGCACTTTCCATATCAGACGATAAACGTCCTCCAACAGAAAGTGTGTGACCGAAGGACGCGGGGCAACTACTGGATAATTTTATTCAGAGCCGATGTTCAAAATGACATGAGATGCTCCGGCATCCCCGTGCACAAAAAGTATTGATTGTGTTTATTCAAAACCATGCATAATTAATTAGATCTAATCCTGTTATTTCGGCACAGAGGCCCAGGCCGGGTTCATTAGCATCTCTGTACCCACACCTGTCAGAACAAAACGGACAAGACACATCAACAAAGCAGGACGGAGCTCCACCTGCCAACGCCTGATGTGTCCCATCTGGGCTCCTGTAAACGGGCTCCATGCAGAGCGAGCAGCCGTGTGTCCAGCCCAGCTGCCTTCACACGGCGTCACAGATCTGATTGGACTCTGACTCAATAGGAAGTGACTGCAGTATGTTTCTGCATTCCACTGGTTCATCTGGTGTTTGTGTGTGTGTGCTGGTTTCATGCTGCACTATGAAGGTCTGTTGAGACATCACACGAACTGCACAGCTGGCAAGAGGTCACGAGTCCTTCTCGTTATAAAAACAGGAGGAATCTAATGTCAGTCTAAGCAGCTGATTTAGTGACATTTTTAGTATTGATGTTTTGAAAAAATGTACTTATTTTAATGACATCGTAGTCACGTAATTGTCAATTTTAGTCGAGTATGAGTGAAACCAGAAGCAGGTAATCTGCAAAGACAACCAAGTAGTCTCAGCAGATGTAGTTTACTTAGTTCTCATACATCCTGTATATCGTAGCTGGAGTGCAACAGAATTGTTCTCTAAAGAGAGTTTTGTTTCAGAGAACTTACACTCGATTATATGAAGTGTAAACTCCATTTATGTGTTTTGGATTTTTTGGGGGAAAGCAGCAAATGAAAAAATCTAAATAATTCAAGGATTCGATAGTTTTGGTTTGGCTTTCTGCTTCGTTCTGAGGAAATCGTAGAAGTAGACTAACTTTATAATGAGTTTAATAATAATACAGTAAAATATATATGGATGAATGCAAACTGCACTCTGTTTTTGCAAGGAACCAAATAATAGATTAGCGGTCTGACAGTTGTTTTATTCTTTTATGAAGTTGCCAGCCTGCATGCAAGCACAACTGACTGGAAGCTTGGTGATCTTACTAAAGGTTAAGCAGTGACTAATGCGTGCCAGAAAATACTAACTGCTACAGGGAGCTAAAACAGCTTTAAGCCAGAAATCTGAGTTTTAAAGCAGGAACTAGAGCTAGAAACAAGATAGTTGGTGTCTTACAGTAACATTCACATTAAAAAAACATAACGGATGCATCTCCAGCCACAACATCTTCTGTCTCTGATTCAGAGTTGAAATTATTACTGGACAGCTGCGGTTTCTGGGAGATTTATAGGTCAGCCTGTTCATTCATTTATATAGATTTTTATTTTGCATAAGTAAACCACTACTATCTACAGCTTCAACAGTCAGCAGTCTTTGCTTTTGCCATCTTTCTTCAAAATAGCCTTCAGTAACAGATAAAGGTTAAACAAACTCAATGGTGATGTAGTACATAAAGAGCCATTCATCTTCCTCTCGTGTGAAAAAAAAAGACTTTGAATATAACATTACAGCCTACAGATGGCTGGAGTCCAGCCTGGTCAAACCAATCTGCTTTGATATTTTCCTTCCCTGCTGCCCAGAAAAGGGTTCATGCTTCCTGTCACACAGTTTCATGAAGCATTTTCCTCAGTTTGAGGCTGTGGGCTAAAAGACTACTCCGTCTTTTAAAAGCATGCAGATGAATTAGCTCAGGCACATTTCTGTGCCACCCGTTGCCTTCTTTCTTCTTCCTCTTTGTGCATAGAAACCCGAACCTGAACTTGTCAGTCCCTCGCTGAAGTGTTCCAACCCTGCACTTACTGTAGAAAGGGCTTGTATTATTAATTCGAGGGAGCCCGACTGTATTCCCCTGAGGACAACGGTTTATTATCTATAGCTAAGCAGCTCTCAGTCTGTCCTTACGGATGAACATGGAAATAAAGCCGACTCATGTGGATGAGCTCTGTGTCCAGAGGAAGGAACCCGAGAGCAGGAAAAAAAATCAAAGCAAAGGCAACTCCAGTCCGGCCCCAAAGCCAACGGATCGTCTGTGCGTATCCCTGAATAATTCATACTATGGATCATGTTTAAGTCATAAATGGGATTACAAATTTACAGCAGTTTTTTCCGTATGTTGTTCACTAACAGGCTGAGTGGAAACAAGGCAGAGACACCAGAGCAAACGACTCATTATCCAGAGTGCAAAAAGACTCCTCACTTTTAAAAGGACACGTCTGTGTATTTTCTGCTCTCAGGATCGTGTCATATCGATGGAACGCATCTCTAATAATAATAATAATAATAATTATCATTCCAGAATGAATGAATTTATTTATCAGTGCATGTTGTCTGTACATTCTGGACATCTTAAATAAAACGATTCAATTAGTTTTTGTGTTGTTGTTGCCGTCCTCAACAAAGCTTTCTCGGCTTTTGCAGCAAACGCCTGCTGAGTTCTGAAGCTAAATTTGCTCTGAAGTCAACTTTGATCAGACTCCAGATAAATTATTGAGCATGATAGTCTACGCAACACTAAGAGTACGAACACCGCGGCCCCTCAGACAAAAGAAGATGTTTTCGTATTGCTTTTTGATAGTGTGGCAGTGTGTGTGTTGTCACGTACCTGCGAGAGCTGAGATGGATGTCCCATGATGCATCAGCAAAGGAAAGAGAAAAGAAAAAAAAGAGATTAAAAATAAACCCTAAATACCTTAAACACTAATATGTTGACTATACACTGATCCATCCTGTCTTGTTCACAGCAGCTTATTCATTTACTGTTTGTTTCTGCAGAGAAATGAATCGTTCCGTGTATGTGGTTAGTTTGGAGTTAACAGAAGAAGAAGGTAATTAGACAGAGCACTGATTGCAGCTGAAGGTTAAACAGACAAAGAAAGCAAACTGTCTCTGCTGGAGAAAACAAGGCCGGAGTCCCGCCTACACTGTTCTGACTGACAGGTCAGCCCTTGGAAACACAATATCAGACACAGAGCTTAGCAACCAAGAAAGAAGACACAAACGAGATGGAGCAAATACATGATTTTCCTTCTTTTTTTTTTTTTTACCATCAACAATGTGAAATATAATTAAGAGCACATTTACATGCAATTAAATGTCTATGTGTGGGTGTGTGTGCTATGTTTTAACAACAACTCAAACCCTAAAACAGCAACTTTAAACCGTTTCGGGGTCCTGAGAGAAGCTTTATAATCGATGTGATTCCAGATACTTTAAATATTAAACGTTTTCCTGAGAGCTTTCATCATGGCGTCTCTGCACCACTGTTTGTCTTAAGTACATCTACACTCTTTACTTATTTATCTCGGCATCAGTCCATTTGCTCCCTTAGCTTGATAAAGCTCCTTTTACTACACTCTGTGTTTCATTGAGACCACAAACCCCTGTTATTTATTCATGTGTCCATGCATCTGGGGCACATGCTTAGGCTTCCTGTGAAGCACCTGTCCTACCCACTAAACAATCACACACTCACGTTCACTTCTTTTCAGCTGGTTTCAGTGCCAAGTCTGTGCTTTAAAATATTGATGGCAGGCATTTCTGTTTGCCTCTCTGTCTGCCTCTGCATAGATACCATGTAGCTCGAGCTGGAGACGTAGAGGGGGGAAAAAAAGCTCCAATCAGCAGGTGCAAACGAGTGGCAGCTCTCACCTGTCAGAGGCAGGATGTCTTTTCTGCTGGATTGTTTATTTACAATTACTGTTTATTTCCATCTGCTGTGTCGCTCAGTGGTTTCCGGTCTCTTTTTGTCACAAGCACACCTTCATTAACCCTCCGCACTCCCAGTTGCTGGGTGCTTTTTGCTCCTGTCACATTTTTTACTCACACTTGGCTTATTTCTCCCTTCAAGTCCTGCTCCTCTATGGAAAACCAACAACTATGGCTGGAAGTAGAGAGAACTCGAAAATGGCTCCTGTGCAGAACAACACATTTATAATACTAGAAATATTTTTTTTAAAAATAGATGCATAGAAATTGATGGGGAGCCCCGGTAGCTCAACCAGATAAGACGGTGACCTATGTAATGTCTTTCCCACTCTTCTCCCCACGTCTGTCTGTCTCCCTTCACTGCCCGGTTGATTAAAGGCAAAAAAAGCCCCCAAAAAACAGTTTTTAAAAAATAGAAATTGATTATTTGCTTCACAAAAATTTCAAAAACTTTACTCGGCATGTACATTTTGTCAAGTGCCCACAGGCGTTACCAACATTTTAAAAAAAGATGGTGACGTCTACTAATTTCCATGTTTGATCTGTTTGTCTTCTATCTGCTCTGAGTAAACACAGCCTGCAGTTCAGCCAAAACGTCCAGTTTTTGACTGTTGGTTGCAGCCGAGTCACTAATGGCTTCACGTTTTTTGCCAAATCCGGGTCATGGAAATGTTTTATTTTTGGCCAATTTTTAAATGATATCTGTAGAATGAAGTGGTTTTGATGAAATATCACAATTTTAACCTTAGATTTGCTTAATTTTCCTGATGGAACCTTATGCTGCACACGATGCATTTGAGGACTAAACTGAAGTGTGAGTGTTGGTAAATGGGTTTTGCTGCGTCTGTCTTTTAGCCTCTGCATGTATTTTCATTTCCTTCTATCCATTTATCTATAGTTCTATCAAATGCCTACAAATGCAACACATTTTTAAATTTCCTTCTCATATTTTCCTGACAAAAACAGAACAACGGCACTGAGACAGATAAACGGAAATAACTCTACTTTGTAATGTACTTTAAACCTATACATCAATCGGCCCTTTTTGAGCAGAGCCAGGTAAGTTGCTCAGAGCTGTGCTGTACCAGTAGATGTATCCCTTTTACCAATTTTAATATTTCAGCATTGCTTTTGACAAGATCTGAATCCTTCAACCCTCTCTACTGAACACTTCTGTGTTGTTCTGCACAACACGTGACATTAAGACATGATGCACAGGTCAAGCATTTACTAAAATACGTTTTTATGAAGATTACTCTGTTGCATAAATCTACTTATTATCTCTGCACTTGGCAGCGCTATAGTGCTGTCTGTTTATCATTCTTTATTCTTATCTCACTGACTACCCTTTCTCCTCCTCCATCTTATCTTTGAGCTCTGCAAATAAGCCTGAAAGCTGAAGCTTTACTCCATGCAGATCCCCTGCTGCCATCCACATATCAGAGGCAGAATGTGTGCTCTGTGAAGCCTGAGGCTGCACACTTACAGCTCTGCAACGCTGTCGACCGCTACCGACCCGGGCTGTTGCTGACCAGCCGAAGGTGATGCAAAAGCTATCGATGCAGCGGGTGAAGTGAAAAATACTGCAGCTCTTCTCCAGAATTGTATAAACCAACATCATCTGTAGGTTTGTTGGTTCATCATGTTTTCTGTGCAGCTCTGAAACCCTCGTTCTTTGGTTTCATCCACTAACGTTTAACTGCAAGTTTTTGGTCACATATTTGCATACTTTACATTTCATCCTGCACAACTTAGCGATCTGTTCTAATATGTCCACACGTTAGTGGAAAACCTCTCACATATTGGAGACTGTTTAAAAACGCTAAACAGCCTTAATGGAGCTCTTAACTGGCATTAGAGCCACACTGGAGCGGCCATCGATACTTGGCTGGCGCTCAAACATCAAATGTTATGTGTTCACAGCCCATAATAGCTTAGACTGGCTATTATTTCTATATTACACGGGTTCAGACAGTCAGCAGTATGTATTTCACAACGTGCAACAGTGAGCCAGAAGTGAGAAGCGAGATGTGATAATAACCACTACAACACCTCTGCGTTTACAGCCTGGCACAAAATCAATGACTGCTGTCTTATCGAAAAATCAGCACAGGATGCTCCCTGCTTCTGACCTTGCAGCTCTAACAAAGTGATGTTTCTATGTGTGTGTGTGTGTGTGTGTGTGTGTGTGTGTAGTTGACTGATTGATTTTGCATGTGTGTATTTGCAATCAAGTGTCCATGCAGTGTGTGTTTCTGTGAAGTCACACTTTCCCCCCCCCCAACCCAACAGGCACAACAGGCCTCTAGTTGCCATAGTAACAATACGTAACACCTCTGCTTGCTGTTATGTCACTGACCCTGACCTCTGACCTCCGAGTGGTGTTGGTTCCTGTACATCCCACCAGCGTACCGAGAGCCTGATTTAAGAATCTTTCAAACGCAGCGTCCTCACAGCGACTGAATCTTTAATTTCTTCCAGTTTTTTCTTTTCTTCCAGTTAAGGGACGCTGTGGTGCTCGTGTATGTGAGAGTTTGTGTTCTGTGTAATGTTATATTCTGCAGCAACTGTTGACACCAACAAGGAAGCGTGCAGAGGCAAGAAATTCATTTCACACATGTGGACTTGCTAGAACTGCAATATCACGACGGAACGTGTGAGAAACAAGATCGCTTTCTTTGAAATCTTCAGTTTTTCTTTTTTGAAGAAAGTCTTTGCTGCTGGTGCTAGTTTACTTAGCGGTCACGGTTCTGTTTCCACCATCGGTGGCGGCGGCGGCGGCAGGGGAGTGGTAGATGAGCTCCACCGTCACCATCCCTGTTTACTTCCGTAAACACTGAGCGTGCTCGTGGGCTGTGGCGTCGTGTCTTCCTCTGCGCATGTGGGACACTTTTGGTCATTATCTGTCCACAGGGCTACACTTAGAGACAGACAACCAAGCACACTCACATTCACACCTACCAATTTAGAGTCACCAATTAACCTCAGCATGTTTTTGGACTGTGTGGGAGGAAGCCGGAGAACCTGGAGAGAACCCACGCTGCACGGGGAGAACATGGAGACTCCACGCAGAAAGATCCCGGGTGTCCTCACTGGGACGTGAACCAGCGACCTTCTTGCTGCGAGCCAACGGTGCTAACCACTGAGACACCTCGCCGCCCAATATTAATCTTGAAAAGTTAAAACACCACAGAGGTCCTGTGTCCATGTATTGAGAGCCTCATCACAGGTAGCCCGTTATATTAACCTTATTATGACCTGTTGGTAATAAGCTGTTTGGCTCTCCTTGTTGGTGATGACTTAAAAGGAATCAACCAGGAAGCTGAAGCACTACTGCACACTAAAGTAGCCCAAACTGTTGTCTGTGCTTATTGTTTTAAGCTTGAATGGAATTATGGGAAATATGTACAGATTTTTTATATTTTGGGCAATAAAAAGGCTTTAAAATAAAGCTTCTGTACCAGAGAACGAAGCAAATCACAAAATCTGTAACGCAGTTTTCTTTTCGTGTAGGTCTGGGAGGGATCTTGACCCAAAATCACACAATCTGATGTAGTTGCAGCAGATGATGAGATGAAACCTGAACTAGGAAATGTTATACACTGACCTGACCTTTGACCTTCTAGCCTGAGGTCTGCTAAGATGCAATACAATGAAAAAACTGAAAAAAAAGTCCCCTGGCTTTGGCGAAAACAATATATAACAACAAAGGTTTACCCTTAAATGTCACATGCTTTGTTAAAATATTGTTTACTTTCTGCTCTGGTCTACCTGTGCTGTTGACTTTCTGGATATTGATGCTCTGTTTTGTCGCATCCAGGAGTGTTTTCGCTCAGCGTCTCTAAATAAATAGACAAGACACACGATCAGCTCTTATCTGAGTGTCTCAGAGCTGAGGTCGCGGTCGGCAGCGTGACTCTGCAGTCTCTCAGACCTGCTGAGTGGCTCTTTGTTAGGACTCACACACAGCGCACACGCACAAAAGCATAACAAGCACTTTGCTGTGTTTTGAATCTGTGTTGCTACAACAACCAAAAGCACTCTTCATACTTGGCAAAAATTACTAATAAACAAGACTGGCAGAGCTGCTCTGAGACTTCCCAAATGTTTGCATGAGACACTGTTTTCTCCAGTTTTTGCACAGTTAAATCACAGCCTCGCAAACAGGCTGCGCTGTGATGGTTGAAACTGTTAACTGTCAGAGGAACTGCACCAGTAAATTTCACTCTGCGCCTTGAAATCTGCTTTAAAATATCACTACAGGACAGAAAATAAAAGGTGAAGGACAAAAATTTTCCACTGCAGAAAAACCTTGTTCACCTGAACCTCGGAGTTATCGAGTTCACTCAGAAATCACCAGCGCTGGCATGATAAAAGCTGCCATTGTCCTTTCAGCAGCAGCCAGATTCCCTTCAAATATAAATGATTCAGCTCCTTCTCCCATTTTCCCCTCTTTATTCTCCATCCTCCTGATCCTCATTCTTCTTTCTTTCAGTCCAAGCCATTACTGGCCCTCTAAACACCTTCAGCGGCGGCATTTCTTTCTGACTCCCATCTCCATTTGTCATGCATGAAATCTTTTAATGGAGTTAACCAATGGGAGAATAATGGAGCAGCCAGATGGGGATCCATCTAATCCCTCGTCATTCTGTATATTTTTAAAATAGAAACAAAGGCACAGAGTTCATCGGGATATTAATGCTTCACTTCCGTATTGGCTCGAGGTTTATAGAGATCATCATGTTCCTTCATGTCGCTCCAACCTGAACCTGTTCACAGTTCTTTTCCAAAGTCATGTCCAGATGTCTGGGCAGTTCAAAAGTTGCATGTTTAATTCAATTCAATTCAATTCAATTCAATTCAATTTTATTTGTATAGCGCATATTTACAACAACAAGTCATCTCATAGCGCTTAACAAAGGCAGAAACAGAAACACCCAACAATCCAAAACATCTGGATTCCCTATAAGCTTCAGCAGTCCGCAAGCAGTCTGCAACAGTGGGAAGGAACCGAAAACCCCCACGGTTCCGACAGAACCAGGCTCAGGGAGGGACGGCCATCTGCCTCGACCGGTTGGGTGAGAGTGGGATGAATTATACAATTTAGTGTTTAACGGGCCAGTGTGCAGGATTTACCTGAATCTACTGGTAGAAATGGAATAAAATATAAAAAATTATGTTTTTATTAGGGCTGCAAGGTGGCTCAGTGGTTAGCAGCGTCGCCTCGCGGCAAGAAGGTCGCCGGTTCACCGGTTCGCGTCCCGGTGTAGACACCCGGGATCTTTCTGCGTGGAGTTTGCATGTTCTCCCCGTGCAGCGTGAGTTCTCTCCGGCTTCCTCCCACACAGTCCAGAAACATGTTGAGGTTAATTGGTGATTCTAAATTGTCCGTAGGTGTGAATGTGAGTGTGCTTGGTTGTCTGTCTCTAAGTGTAGCCCTGTGATAGACTGGTTACCTGTCCAGGTGAACCTGCCTTCACCCTGAGTCAGCTGGAATAGACTCCAGCCCCGCATGACCCTAGTGAGGATTAAGGTGTATAGATAATGGATGGATGGATGTTTTTATTAGTGTTTCATCACCTGAACAAATAAGAATTGTGTTTTAGTGGCATTAAAATGAGCTCTTTATAACTACAAAGGGGAGCAGGTCCTGCCATGTTGCACCACCATATTTCTGCAGTAGCCAAGAACAGACAAACCAAACGCTGGCTCTAAAGAGGCCCTTCTGTGTTTTTAGTGATATTTAGATGACTGAAATCTGCAACCTCACCAGTTGAATCCTCTAAATCCTACTCACTGGTCCTTTAAAAAGCTATTTCCGCTCAGTAAAATCTTTTAAGACTATTTATAGTTTCCTGGTTACCAGCAGTGGGGTTTTCCCTGGTGATGTCTGAACACAGTCAACATTGTGCAGATATCATCACTAAATCTCCCTCCTTCCTTTATTATGTCTAAAAGTCATTTTCCCTACTTAATTACCCCTAATTTGTAGCCTCGATTCAGGCATGTGAGATCTCTGACACTTGAGAATCCTCCCACCACCTCACTGCAGTGGAGGAAAAAGTGCAAAAAACCAAAAAGCATTTGAATCCTTGCTTTGAAAAAGAATCAGCAGGGGTGTCTGCTCGGGAACAAGGTCGCAGTTACTCGGGATAATTTTGCAGTTTAATTTTTCCTTCGGGAGAGGATGCTTTCTGTTCACAGTGAGATTTGTAGAAAGCAAATTTCCAGACCAGCGAATAGAAAAACTTTAATGAAGACATTTATGCACTGCTATAAAATTAATAGCTGCATAGCGAAAAACGCACGTAAATATTCCCTTATTATTCACTTATCTGGGCTCCATATTGGTCTCTGGTATTTTTTCAGATCTGTTATGACAAAAGCTTTGATTCTTTCGAGTATATTTAAGTGTGTGGAGTTTCCATTTCCTACGTGAGAGATGTGCTAATTAGCCACAAGAGGAAGTACAGCGGTGCGTTACCTGCGGAGCTGCAATGTTGAGAGCAGGGTTGGCCAGTTCAAACCTCTCCTGGGATTTCTCTCTGGCCAGACGGGCCGCTTCCTTCACCTCCTTAAACTGTTCTGCAAACTGCAGGTGGCAGAAGAGAAGAGACAGAAATTACACTCTGCCTGCCAGCAAAACCAGACAACGTGTTGCTGCAAGAAGCACACACTCGACTGCAGTGTAATTCCCTCCTCCTACATGTGGGCCACGTCTTTATCAGGCAGCTTCACTCTAAAGAAAGATCATGAACATGTGAGCAGTTTATTGCTATTGTGATGTCTGTCCGCTCTATATATGATAGCATGCCAAATCTGGGGGGGAACAAACGGATGTTACTGCTGGAAAAGTCAAATTATTGCAGAACAGATGTTTTCTCAGAGCAAATGGGGAAATCTTGAAGGTCAAAGAAAATGTCTCGAGAAAGATGCACCCATGCTAGAAGAAGCAATCTGCATGATGACAACAAGCAAAAGTGTAGCTCCATCTGTATTTTGAACATATTTTTATAAAAACAGGTGCAAATCAAATGCGGAGAGATCAAGTGCTGATAGAAGATGTGCTAATACAAAGTGAAAATATTGCCTTGTTCACCACTTGACGGTCCTCTCCTGCTTCAGAGTGCCTCTTACTCCAACCTGTTCTTTCTATGCAACAAATGAAAGAGCTTTTGAAGTATCTTCTCAGAGTGTTGCTGCAATGTGTGTGTGTGTGTGTGTGTGTGTGTGTGTGTGTGTGTGTGCGTGTGCGTGTGAAAAGCGTGTACCTGCTGCAGCTGCTGCTCGGTGGAGAAGCCCAGGCCGTAGACGGTGTTGGCCCGGCTGTCTGCCCACTGGCCAAACTTCTGGGAGGTTTTGGTGAAAGTCATGTTGGGGGTGATGGTGCTGTTGATGATGGCCTGAAACCACAGGGGACAAAAAAAAGCAAAAAACATTAGAACACAGTGGAAAATTGAACCTTGTGGGAAAAGTGGGACATTTTTGTGATGAATAAAACCATGCTGCACAGAATAATATCAGTTATAAACATGAAGGGATGAAAATTGCATCACCTGTCAATAACTGCATAACTTCTAAGTGGAGTGTTTCCTCTTATGAACAATCAAAAACACATACTTTAGAAGGCTATATTGAAAATACAGGTCCCAAAGTAGACAATGCACCTGTGATAAATGACAGAAAGCCTGTGAAACCTGTATGAACGAATTCAGGAAATTCCAATTTCCAAAGCCTGATTGTACGAACATGGCTATAAAATGAGCAGTAACAGCCAGAACTTTCTCAGTTTTCGACCAGTGGGCTGTTTCTGTCTGCACATCTCTAACATGGAAAAGAACTACCGAAGAGGATAGTAGACGATACTGGAAGATCAGTGACCAGATGAAAAATCTGGTGAGACACAACTGCAGCAGTAATTAGGAGTTTTACTAGAACAGGGCACAAGAACAATGCTCCAACTAACAGACGGGCAAGTGCTTCTAGCTTAGCACAGGGATGATCAATGGAAATCAAAGGTACCGTGACACAGTGCAAAGGACATTGTACGATGTCAACCTCCAATAAAGAAACCATGGCTTTCTATTCAGCACATAACTGCAAGATTAAAACAAGAACTGGTTTAACCTTGCAGTTCAAAGCAGTTGAATGAATGAATGAATGAATGCTGATGAATCTTGAGAGCACATTCTTTGGCTAGATGAGTTGTTTGGTTCAGACGGCATCCAGCATGTTTAGCATGAACGTGGTCAGGACAGCCACAGTGAAAACAGAATCCTGACAGTGATGCACGGAGATGGAAGTGTAATGATGTGAGTTTTAAAGGTGTTGAGGAGAGGTCATTTGTGACCCATCTGCACGAAACCAGTCGCATTGCGCCTTGGGCTAATATGCGTAAACAAAAGCGGCATGTTGCTACCACATGACGCAAATCACGGGACAGGATTGGCTGGCAGTGACACATTGCTCGTCTGCACACGAGTGATTTCCACGGCTTCTTTCTGGTTTTACCGCTCATGCACGCCGATGGTATTTGATAGCGATATGGAGCTCTGTAATATTACATGTTAACTGCATGTAGAAAACAACTAAATGGACCGATCTAAGTATCCATCCATCCATTTTCTATACACCGCTTAATCCTCATTAGTGTCGCGGGGGGGCTGGAGCCTATCCCAGCCGACTTAGGGCGAAGGCAGGGGACACCCTGGACAGGTCGCCAGTCCATCGCAGGGCCACACTTAGAGACAGACAACCAAGCACACTCACATTCACACCTACGGACAATTTACAATCACCAATTAACCTTAGCATGTTTTTGGACTGTGTGGGAGGAAGCCGGAGAACCCGGAGAGAACCCACGCTGCACGGGGAGAACCTGCAAACTCCGATCTAAGTAATAAACCCAAAATCAATATTTTTATATTACAACGTAATTCGGACTGTATCTCGGATACAGCCCAAGGTGCAACACGACTGATTTCATGCAGATGGGTCACATTTATCGATGGTGCAGTGAATATCTGTGGTTATACCAAAGTACTGCCTGACAAGATGACTCCCAGTCTGCAGAAGCTTGGCAAAGGAGGAATATTCCAGCACGATCACTGCTTACAATCAGACGAAAAAAGTTAAAACTATGATCTGGCCAAGCATGTTGCCTGACTTCAACACTTTTAAGGGATTTTAAGAGAAAGGTCAAGAAAGTCAACCTATCTAGCAGAAGCTAGCTGAGAAGATCCTCCAGAAATCTGTGCAATACTGGTCACATGAAGCACAGTAAAAAATTAAAGACTTGCATCTCAGTAATGAAGGGTGCACTGACTCGTGATGCGTTGACTTCCCACCGTTGGGCCTGTGTTAAGTATTAATAAAATATTATTTCTAAACGGTCAGAACAAATGACTCCTGTCCAACGTAGAAGTAATGTAATTGCCGTAAGGTGATACCACGTTGAATCATTTGACAGTTTGTTGATATTGCTCTGGTGTGGACTTGTATCGTGTACAAACCCAAACAATCAGCACTGTTTTCATTTAACACACAATTTTAATTTATTGGTTGACTCCAATAGTTAGTTCATCCACTGGTGATGAAGGTGAAGGTGCGTTGCCTTCATTTCTGTCACGGCTAGTTGGTGTGTTGCACGAGCACAGAGGCATGTGCAAACAAAGTTCTTTATAAGTCTGTTTTCAATTCATTCATTCCATTCATATTCAGTGGCATGACTTTGCATTATATACAGAACAAACAAGAAAGAACATGAATAACTCCCGTCACCTTTAAATGCCAAATTCATTACAGCCCACTGTTATTTTTCATTTGTACATAGTTGACCAGCAAATACGCTGATTTTCATCTGAGTAACAAGAGGCCAACTGTTCTCTGTGCTGCAGCTCATCACAATAAACAGGCGGGTGGTGGAGCTTCATGCTCTTCTGTAGACGCTCATTAGCAATAATAAATATCACAGCAGGCCTAATATCACAAGTCACATTTAGATTACGGGGGTCGTCTGATTCTGGAGCCTTTGAAGTTGTGTCACTAACAGTTATTATGGAAATCTGCCGGAGAACCGCTCATGCAAATCAACACAAAGTAACTAACAAGCAGGCCGCAGAGAGACGGCGAAGTGAAAGAGCTGGTTGTGGTGTGCGGTGATCTGTTCAGCAATATTCTCAAGTGAACAGCCTGATAAGGTGGATTTGTTGCCAAATGATTTCTTTCGTCTCTTCTCCAAAAGCCTCTAGTCTCAGGGCGGCAAATTGGCACAACTGGCTGATAACAACAAAGTGCAGTGTTTTCTCTGAGTTTCACGTACTAACAAGATATTCTGTTAGTGCTGGGACTCCCAGGTGCTTTAGTGTTGCTGCCGCATTACCGATATGCGTGTGTTATAAATACTCTGCTGACTATGTGTGTATTTGACTAATGCATTTCCACCCATGACAGCCACATCCAAACAGCAACCGGATCTATTTCCATTTATTTGAAGGATCTCAGCATATGATGCACAAAGTGGGCTGAGTAAAAGGAAAGTCAGGAGAATGTGATACTCCACAAATGAAGGGTCTCTACTCAGATGTAATACTAATACCAGGAGAGGAAAATACCATCAGCTCGCTGCTGAAGGCAACAGAAAGTGCTGCGAGGTAAGGGAAGTGTGATACATCCTTTAACAAAGACAAAAAATGGCTGAATGGAGAACTGAGTTGACTTTTTCAGGCAGTCCCAATACGTTTCATGTTTGCTTCATTCCACAGAAATAATAAACAACACTGAAATGTCTCGGGGCACTTCTGATCCCAAAGCCTGCAGCTGGATTGAAAGGCATGTTGTCTTTAAAAAATACCCAAATTACATCATTTACTGGAGGCAGTATCTGTAAAAACAGAATGAATCATAGGATTTTTAACTTTTCGAGTTTTCTTGAACTGCTTTTCTGTAATACGTTGTTCCATTATAAAACTTAATTTATCTTTAGTGACACCAGTCCTGAAACTTTTCTGACACACCTCGTTCACGCTTTAAACTGTGATATTTCAACAAAGTCAGTTTATTTGATTGAAAGTAAACCGTTTGCTTTATCCCCATTCTGCCGAAACAACAATAAAACCGGCTGTGATGTCACACAAAATAATTCAGGACATTCTGAATTAACTGAACTGAAGGATGTGTTTACACAGAGCAGACAGATGACAAGTATGGAACCAAAGACAAGGCATGTAAGTAATAAAATATATGTAGTATGTAGAGTTACCGTTTCTTTCAGTATTAGCAGCCCCCATGGACAATTCAAAAAATATATCTGAACAAAGATATTAAACTTTTGATTTCTTTTTCTAATATAAGCTGTTTGGCTGTACTTCTAGCCACGGTTGTGCTGTTTCCATAGAGGTGCAGGATTTTATATCGCAGTGAAAATGAAGCCACAGTGAGTTAAACTGTGTCAGGAACAACAACAACAACAACAACATCATCATCCAGAAACTGCTTTAGGTTTAAGGGGTTAAAATCAATCCATCCAACAGCAACACCAAAAAAAAGATTCTTGCAAAACATGCTTCACTGGTCTGCTTCTACAAAAACCTCAGCAAATTCACTTTTTACCTGAAAGACTGCTGTAACAGTGGAATGACTCCACACTGACCTGTTTCTGACCAGCATTGAGCTGCATGCCCCTACCTGTGACGCCAACTGGCCCCTCTGTGACTCACACACACTCACACACGCTGATAAATATTCACACATTTCTACATCATGCTGAAAACATTTCCCAATGCAGGTGACGTGATGTGTTTCGGTGACGTGAACATGTTAAACAGAATTTAAACACAGATCTGCGAGCGAGAAATGTGAACATCAGCGCATGTTGTGGGTGGATTTGTGTGTCGTTGTGTGTGTCGGGCTCCCACCTTAGTCCCACCCACGCTGATGATGCGGTAGACGCTGCGGCTGGCATCGTAGAAGAAGGACACGGTGACGGCGTGTTTGCTGGCCGGCAGCCAGTTGCGTTTGGTGGCCGGGTCGATCTGGAAGACATGAGCTCTGGCGCTGAAGATGGGCTGCTCCCTTTAAGGACAAGAGAACAGAATAAATTCAATTAATGTGACGGGTGATTTAATGTCATATTATTTACTGAGCACTATATGTTTAGGCTGACAGGTTCTCCTTCATGAAGGGACTGTGTGCTCAGGTGAAGGTCTTACAGTTTCTGACCATTTACAGCACTCATTTACATGTTTAATAAGCAGCAAAGTAAATGTTCATAGTGAAAATATACAGGATATTTAAAGGAAGTCAGTAAACAATTTAAGTCTTTATCCGTCGGTGCACACTGTCGCAACAACGAAACCACATAAAACCACAAAGATCAAACCACTAAGCCCACAAACCTAAAGATGTTGTAGAAAACCGCATTTATAAGTATCACCCATCCATCATCAATACACCACTTAATCCTCACTAGGGTCATGGGGGGGCGGAGTCTATCCCAGCTGACTCAGGGTGAAGGCAGGTTCACCTGGACAGGTAACCAGTCTATCACAGGGCTACACTTAGAGACAGACAACCAAGCACACTCACATTCACACCTACGGACAATTTACAATCACCAATTAACCTCAACATGTTTGTGGGAGGAAGCCGGAGAACCCACACTGCACGAGGAGAACATGGAGACTCCACGCAAAAAGATCCCAGGTGTCCTCACCAGGATGCAAACTGGCAACCTTCTTGCCGCGAGGCAACGGTGCTAACCACTGATCCACCTTGCAGCCCAACCGCATTTATATGTATCACATAAAAAGAATTAAAAGACCTAATTATGGCAGAATTAAGACTACATCAAATGAAATGCTTTACTTTTAATGCCTGATCTGCAACAATGACACTAACAATAGTGGAGAACTGCACGTATTTTTATGCCACAACCAATTAAGTACATTTGAAATCAAACTCATGAGTCGTTTTCTTTGTTACTTAACCCTTTATGGAGCAAGTGACCATATTTGGTAACTTCCTTGGACATTCAATATGTCCGCCCTGTGCGTCTCCTTGAGGTTGAAGAACCATGTGCGCTGATTTAGTTTTTATATTAGTGCCAATATCAAAAATGTCACTAAAGAAATGTTTCAGGCACTTTATTAACGCTTTGTTACTGGTTGTGTATCATTACCTCGATGCAATTCACAAGGAAGTTCCATGTTTAAACTAGACAACATGCTTAGAGAATTTTAAAAAGTCCTAAAATCTGAGATAAGGGTGTCAGTGGTGACAGTTTTCATCATAACCTTTCAAAAGGTGCTTTTTTTTGTTGTTGTTGTTTTTGTTCATGCTGATAGCAATCAATAGTGCTGCTTTCCATTACTATTTTCCCAGGAGTGCTCGCTCTCCGTGGTGGAGTCCTAATCTCCCAGCTGACGATTTCTCCATTAAAATAATTGTTTCCTTTATTGAACTGAAGCTTACTTCAGACACTGTCTCTGGAAATCTAGTTTCTACCTTTTGTTTCAAAGAGAGGAGCAGAAATACAGAAATCTTCATTTTTTTGTTAGTTTGTTCTACAAAAAAAAAGCCAAAAAAATGAAAAATGGTTTGAAAATAGGACAACATACAAGATTTAAAACAGAAAAGACGACATGTATTGAAGACATTAGATGGGAAAAGGAGCATAAGCCGACAAGCGTGCAGCATCTGCTGGACTCCACCAATCTGTGCAACTGTTCTGCTATCAATCACTGTGTGCCAACGAGTCACTTTCGTCAGGAGGTAAATTCATCACCTTCAGTCTGAACTCTTCATTTGTCACTCAGCTCTGTCACAGACGGTGAGGTGAGCCGGAGGTCAGGTGTTACATGTGTCGTTTTTTAGGGGACATAAATCTGTCTGCGTGCGACGCTCCTCGCTGAGCCAGTTTGTCGGTGGAGAGACTCACCCGAGGGGCTCCGAACAGAGAGATGAGCGCCAGGGAACAGCATCAGATGTCACTTTAAGTCTACAGCAAACCCCTATTTTTCATTATAGAAGCGTTGGCTCTCGCAAGTCAAGCCAAGTCCGTTTTATTTATAACTTACACAGCACCTTTCATACACGGGGAAACTCAACATGCTTTAGAATAAAAAACAGAAAAGACATTAAACAGATGAGACAGAAAGAGATGCACACGTACATGAAACACACTTCATACGCCAGCATCCACACATGGATTACCACTGATACACACGATAACACACACACACCAACCACTAAGAGCCTGAGACAAAAAATATATGTTTTAAGACTTTTAAAAGAAGACACAGTTGCAGAGGATCTAATCTCCACAGCATCATAGTGATCAAATGCACCTTCATCTGATTTACTTTTAATTCCAGTTACATTCAGAAGACAAATATTTGATGAGCTGAGGGATGTGTCTGGGCTGCAGCCAGTGAGCAGGCTGAAAATACATTCAGGATTCACGTCATGTAGCGCCTTGTAAACGAGCACTAATCAATTCTGCACTGTACCGGCAGCCGGTGCAGCGTTCCCAGTACAGGTGGAAAGTGTTGGAGCTTCCAGGCTCTCCTGCTGCAGCACTCTGAGCCGGCGCCGACACAATCTGCAGTCTTCTCTGGACGTCCTGCAAAATTACAGTAATCTCATCGGCCGCAGCTCGAACGCATGAAGCAGTTTTCCAGAGTCACAAGAAAGACGTTTTGATTTTTATGCTTTGTGCGATCAAGCAATACTAGTTGCGGTTTTTCTTTCACACCTGCCACCAAAATTCACGACATGACGGCACTCTGAAAAAACCGGTTCTCTCATGTTTCTCTTGAAATCATACCAACAAGCCCACATGATTAGGCGCCGTTTGAACGCTGCATTCCTGTTATCGAGCAATTCTAATGTCTCTGTTTCATTCTTGCCAAATTACCCCTTATTTTGTTTCCAGTAGAATTGCTTCCTTGCTGAGGAGAATAATACAGGAGGAAACATTGGGGAAAAGAGAAAATAAACAGTAACTTTAGAATTCACACACGTGATTTGTCTGCCTTGAATTAGCTGTAGGTTATAAATTACCTGACTATTGGCTTAACGTTAATCTGATAAAATATTATCAATTATTTTCAGAAATTTTCAAAAAGAACTTTAAAAACCCATTGTAGTAAATTTGTGAAGATTCCTGGATGTTGTTAAAATATGTTTTTAAGCTCGAGTAGAGCTGCAATCATCTTGTGCACAATAGTCGCAGTTGCAGGAAATGCAATGTGAAGTAATACAGCTTAACTCAAATATTGTTGTTGTTGGTTTTTTTGTCTTTGTGTTATTTACGGGGTAAATCTGACCTATGAGCTCTTTCTGCTCACATTGCTGAGGTGCTGCAGTACCTGAGTGGAGACCAGAGGCTTCTCTGCATCGACTGCAGTCTGCACGTGAAGCATTTACAGAGCATCTGTAAACTCCAATATCTATAAATAAGCAGTTGTTTTGCAAGTGAGGCCCTGTGAGTACAATTTCATTTTTATTTCAGCTCTAAGAGATGCACGTCCTATTTTAAAGCAGCTTTGTATATTAGTAGGAATGTAACACAGCACTGCTCCATTAGTTTACGTGTGAAAGTGCCATGTTAAAAATCAATCAATAATTGCGATAAATTGGCAAATAATGATCCCAATCGTGATCAAGACAATCATGATTATCATTTTGGTCGTAACGGTGCAGCTCTGCTCAGTTGTCTGGAAATATTTCAGTTGCAGAAACAATGACGTTGATCAGAAACAACTGTTGCCGCCGCACAAGCTAACACAACTAATTTGTTTGAGCTCTGTACGATCTAAATGGCATCCAAAGCAAAAAGCTATTTCAAATGCTTTTGCTGATGTTACATCATATGAGCTTTTGCTCAAAATTCTTCACAGTAAAAAACAAAAAAAGTCACTGTTCTTTTTAAAACTGATTTCTTATTTTGTGTGTCGATGCTCTCGCCTACAAAGGGACTTTTAGAAAGACAAATTCTTTTAAAATAGATTCATCAAAGTCATCTAGTGAAAATTTGTGGGGGTTTCAATCTCACAGAAAAACTAAATAGTGAAACATCATTCTTTTTCCAAATATTGTGCAGCTGTAATCAGAGTACCAGAGGTTCTTTTATGTCCATCCTATTTCACTCTCAGGTTTTAATGTCATTGGCAGGTATTGAATAACCATGACGTGTATAACTAAACATCTTGTTTGCGTTTTGAGAGGACTGACGCCATTTTCAGCAAATACTGTGCTTACTATGTAATTCTGGCTCTAACGAGCAGCTGTGTCCAAGTCCTACATAAATACCACAGCCCATGATATTACACATCCTCCTTTATGTTTTTGCTTTAATTTTATTCAATTTTAATGAGCTGCTGGTTTAAAATTTTAATGGAGGCAGAGCTGCGAGTCTTCCCAGTGCACAGTATTGTTCTTTGTATTTACAGCATGAATATAGATGTTCTTCATATAGATGTTATTTTTGAATGGAATCATTTCAGACGAAGCAAAACAAAAAAACCTTCAGTTAATTAGCTTTATGGGGGAGAATGAAGTCAACCATGCAAATACTCTGCAGATGTATTCACAGCAATGTTTCTCAACTAAGCAATAAAAAAAAATGGAAATAACATTCAGGAAAACTTTTTCTGTTGTCCACTGAACAAAGCCAAAAGGCTGAGACATCGGTACTCGTCATTAAAAGTCACTGATTATCATTAATGCCTAGTTTTGCTTATGTGTTGGAGAGCGAACCGTGGACAGAAATGCTCCCAATCTCCAAATGTGATGGCATATTTCAGAGGCCCCGGGTCACTGATGCTCTCCTGGCGTAATGAGGCTTTTGGTGCCAATGAAGCTGAAGATTTGCTCACCGCTAGCCGCCCAATTAGCCGTCCTGCTCTCCACGAAGACAAACTGCATTTGGTCGCTGTGGGGACAAACCATGGAGGAGAAGCTCACAGGACAAGGAGGGACTACACGGGCACTTTGGAGAATTCACGCAACATTACACAGCTAATAGAGTTTGAACAGTGTTAATGTATGCAATGAGCTGCTCCCTTCGCAAG